TGGCGGTGGTGGCGTAGCCTTGTTTTCCTTCGTAACGGTAGCGTTGTTCAGGAGACGAGAGATGAGTGCACCAGCATGCTCCTCGAGCACTTCCGGCTTCTCCGTGAGAGTTGAAGTGAGAGTGCCGATGGCAGCCTCCTTGACAACGTCCACGCCCTTGAGGTCCAAAGATTGGAGCAGCAGGGTAACGAGCTGTCCAACTTCCTCGACTACTATCTCAAATGGCATCCATCGCAGTGCTCCGCTCAGTGCGATGAGATAATTGGGCTTCGTCTGGGCATCCGCTTCTCGGAATGATTTTGTGATGTTCGGCACCAGTAACGCAAAGCTCTTATGCTTATGTAGACCAAGGATCTGGCAGTGGTTTTCCTTGGTGAGAAGGTCGTCGGGTTGCAGAAGTGTTGTGAAACCTTGCGCGACGGTACTGCCATACTTCGGATGTGATAGCAATGACAAGAGCGTAGGATACAACGTGTTCAGCGCAGGGCTGCTCCGCAATACAATGCCCTTGAGACACGCGAAGATAATGCGTATTCGTGGCGGATCAAGCTTCTCCGGGTTGAGCAGATCAAAGTCCGCGACGAGAGGGTCCATGCATGTCTTAAGTGCAGCGCTGGTATAGTACTTGTTGATGATGAGAGACATCTGCCGAAGGGATGCTGATCGGACTGGTAGGGATAATGAGGGCTGCTGAGCGTAGTTTGCTAGAGAAGAAATCAAAAGTTGTAATTCGCAAGGCAGCGTCGCGTCCCTGCGAAGGGAAGCGAGGAGATGTGTAGAGACGATCATCGTCTTGTTCGCTTCCACACTGGCATCCAGACTAAAGGGTGGAAGTTCAGTCTGTGGCTTGCCGCGGAATAAGGTGTACAGCTCCGCAGCAACATTATTCTGCTGTTCGGTAGGAAGGTACCTGATGATCAGGTTGCATATGCGGCCGACAAGATCAAGTGTGGTCTCATCGTCAAAAGCCGCTGGATGTGTTTCATCAGAACTTGATGCGCGTTCGATGAGTGGCAACGCGATGTCCTTGTAGTAAGTGGAGCTGTCTGAACCCTGCGACAGTTTGTTCTCGCCCTTCTTGAGGGCATACAACATTGCGGAAAGTAGCGCGACAATGTATGTTGAAGAGGCACCCTGTTGGACTGCGGCGCTGAACTTGTTCTTGAGTCGCAGTATGACCGTGTCAAACACCTGCTCCTCGCTGGCCAGCTTGGCGAAAGCTTCGAGAACAGTCGAGTAGCTTTTCGACCCGTCCGCGTCGGTGTCTGGTAGTTGCGCAAGGAAAGCCGGGAATGCTTTCTCGACTACGACCTGTGGTTTCTGGTGTGCAATCTCAACGATACCGTTGATGGCTGCTTCCTTGACCTCGTCCTTTCCATGTGATTCTTCGTGGATGACGATGGAATGCAGAAGCTGAATGATTCTGCCGATATCGTCATCGCTGAGTAGTCCTCGCGCTTTCGATAGCTGGATAAGTCCATCAAGACAGACTAGTCTGAACGACACTTCTTTGGCCGGGGCTGTCTCGAGACCATTCAACATGACTTCTAGCGCTTGGTCTCGGAATTGAGCGAGCGCGTTGTTGCTGATTTCTTCTCCACCAGGGCCCATCTTTCTCCAGTCCCCATACACGTCGATGTTGGCTTTTATTAGTTGGACGAGAACTTCCAGTAAACCTCGGCGCTTTGCCATGGTGTCAGCTGTCTGGAATAGTAAGAATAGGTTCGGTAGCACACCGGCCAGTACGAGGCTAGTGACTTCAGGAGACACATTGGCGATGCTTTCGAGGAACCTTGCGGAAGCTTGAGATTGCTTCGTGGGTGCATCTTCGAGGTGTTCGTTGCACTCCTTGATAACAGGTTTGAGATACGCATTGAGTGATCCTGGGGTACCCTTCGATAGTGTCCTTGCAATTGCGGCTAGGCCTGCAAGCGCTTCCTTCGCGAGGTCTTCCTCTTGTACATTCAAGACTTCAAACTTCAGTGCGTCCCATAGCGTAACCGCGTATAAAGATACTGTCCTTGGTCCGTACTCGGTCACTGAGGCTGTAATCGTTGATAGAACGTCTCGCTTGGTGTTCATCGATGTGGAATCGAGCTTGTCCAGAAGCGCAGGGAACGCATATGGCGCAAAGTCGGCCGTGGATGAAATGCAATCTCGCAAGCGATCCTTCAGGTCTTGCGCCGTGATGCCATACGGATCATCAGGTGGCGGCCTGAAGGTAATTGGGAAGTAGTTGAAGACTGCGTCAAACAGGTCCTGTGCATCTCCGCCGATGTTCCATTCCGTCATCGGAACCCTGAGTATCGAGAAGACGACCATCAAGTTCCGAGGATCTTTCTCTCCGTCAAAGTATGATATGAAGCGTCCCAAGAAGTCTGGTGTCGCAGCGTGGTGGGCTCGGAGGGCGTCGCGGTATTTCGCCATGAGCGTATCGATCAGACGCAGCACGGGGTAACGTTCGCTCTGCTGCTTGTATTGCCGTAGCGGATGTGTGTTATTGAGAAGTGCCTCAACGATGCTGACTACCCGCTGGTCGTCCCACTTCCCCAGCTCTTCCAGCGCCAGGAGTGCCTTTGCGCATGACCCGAGGCCTTCGTTGTCTTCGGTTCGGGAAAGGGTGAAATCGCAGAGCAGGTTCCCTAAGCTTCCCGTTAGCCCGATTGTATCTCATGACACGATGCTCTCGCCATGGAAATGTAATCCATAGCTAATGCTCCGCCCCAGTACCAAGGATCGTTTTGGTCTGCGATATGCGATGGATGTGTACGGGGAACAATGTAGTATGGGCTGAGCGGTCGCGGGTTCACGTACGTTGTTGGAGGGAAAGAACCTTCTGTGGGACGGCTGCGAGTACCTCCGCGAGGTACGACATCGCTACGATGAATTAGCCCAGCTCCTCCTAGATTCCAGAGCGATACGTACTCTTCGACCGTGTGGCTCCATCTTCACTGTTCAAGTATTCCCCAAGGTCAGTGACCAGGCTGATAAGCTTCAATTCGCCATTCTTCAGTCCTGTCCACAATCAGCCCTCGTCCCGCCAGATGCCCCGCCGGAACCTCGTACATACGCGTCGCGCTCCGCTGAGCAGTCGCCGTGGCTTCTTTCTTGTTCCTATCAAAGTCCAGCAGATACTGCTGAGCATCTGACATGTTGATCGTCGCGGGTGCGGTATGCTGCAATGTGTTGCCGTATTCCTCGAAGCACGCGATTCAGAAAGTTGCACAGTCGCGGCAATGACGTTACGGAGTTGCGGTGCTGCTGATTGGCCGGTATCGGAAGGGTGGGGCGGGTCGCGCAAAAAAAGTTAATGGGAAGTGTCGGCAGTGAGGAAAGTGTGGTTAATTGACCCGATGGGAGAGGCTTGACTGGTCCCTGTGGCCCCGTGCTGTGAAATAAATCGTCTTCTCTGGACCGACTCATATCTTGGATCTACTATTCCAATCGTCGACTATTCCGCTGCCCATCATCCCCAGAACAGCAAAGTTACCCCGCCATGGCCGACGATAAACCTAACTGCAAAGTCATCCTTGCGAACAACATCGCCAAGGGTCTTTTGGACGAAGTGCGCGATGGTCTAAGTAAGATTCCGCGCAAGCCGCTACTCGTTGGCTTCCTCTCCAGCGCAGATCCTGCCGCCAGGGTATACGCAGAATGGACAGGCAAAACTTGTGTTGAAAAGTGAGCGCGTCCACTAGTCAATACTCACTTCTTCCATGGCTGAGGCTTTGGCTGGAAGTTGGGTGAAAGCCGCCTACTAACCTCATTGTAGTGGCTTCGCATTTGACCTGCGCGAAGTCGACCGCGAGCTCCTTGAGGACCGCCTCATCGAAGCGAACAACGACGCTGCCGTGGACGGCATCATTGTCTACTACCCCATCTTCGGTAACCGCCAGGACCAATATCTCCAGCAGATTGTCTCCATCGACAAGGACGTGGAAGGACTGTCGCATCGTTACATTTTCAACATGTACCAAAACATTCGCTTCCTTGACCCTGCCAACACCAAGAAGAGCATCTTGCCTTGCACACCCCTGGCCGTGATCAAGATCCTGGAGTACCTGAGAATCTACAACACCATCCTGCCATACGGTAACAGACTGCACGGACGCACCATTACCGTCATCAACAGAAGCGAAGTGGTAGGCAGACCGCTTGCAGCACTACTTGCCAACGACGGTGCCCATGTCTACAGCGTGGATATCGGCGATGTGCAGGAATTCACACGAGGCGTTGGTCTACGAAAGCGAAGACACGAGGTAGTGGAGAAACCTGGCTGGACCCTCAACGACTGCCTCCCACTTAGCGATGTAGTCATCAGCGGTGTCCCTGGAGACAAGTACAAGGTGCCACTCGAGTTGATGAGGGACGGAGCCGCATGCATCAACTTTTCCAGTGAGAGGAACTTCACACCCGAGGTCAAGGAGAAAGCCTCCATCTACGTTCCTGCCATCGGCAAAGTCACTATTGCGGTGCTCTTGAGGAATCTGTTGGTACGTAATCATGCGTCTACCTACGGGACTACACTGACAGTGTTGCAGCGCCTCGCTCAAAACAAGATTGATGCTGCTGCTCAGGGCGTGGATGAGAAGTCCTCGGTTGAGCCAGTGATTCAGTCGACCGCATAGACCTGTTTATCATTCTGCATCGTGTCCTCATTTTGATACCCTATAGAAGGCACGCGTGCCATAACAAAACTCGCTCGTCATCCAGCTTTTCGCAATCTGAGCCTGTGTCTGATCGACGTCACGCATCATGAAATTGACTTGACTGTCACCCAGAGCACACAGTCTCGTAGAAGTAAAACCATCATATTAAAGTCGAGCAAGAGATTGCACAAGAATTTGTGACTGAATAGTACCAACCATTTGATCGTGATAGATAGAATTAACCCATTAAGTCCACATGACCCGGCCAGGAGAAAACCACATGTAGAAAAGTAAAGGTATAAACAAGATGCGAAATTCGTTACTTGATTGAACGCCACGCTAAATGTGAAATCAAGACGCCTCCGGCGGCATGGGCACAGGCACGCTTTCCACCTTGATTTCTGGTTGCGGCGGCTCGTATACATCACTCTCTGCCTCCGGCGCCGCTCGCCTAGGCAAGGGTCTCTCCCTTTCTTCGTAGTACATATAGTCGTCAGGGCGACTATTGTATCTCTGTGGTGCAGGCCTCTCGTATTGGACTGGGACGTATCCATATGAGTCATGTTCATATCGGTGAGGCTGATGTGGCATATACGGGGCCCGATACCTGGTGTCACCACGTACACGAATGACCTCGTAGTCATGCATGGGATGCCCGTACTCATCAACATAAACTGGTTGTGGACCGCGTGGTTCATCGTAACGATATCGTGGTGGTGAGTACCCGTGTGCATGTGGATGCAGACGGTCTTGCACAGAGACGTACCCGCGGGGATGACGGCGGGCAGGTGGATAGAACCCTTCATCTTGTACAGACTGATCAAGGCTGTGCTCTCGAGAATACGCAGGCTCGTAGTCAGGCTCAGCATTGGGCTGCGGTGTTTCTTGTTGATCGATGCGACGCTTTTGTTCTTCATATCTCCGGCTTTGCGATCGGCTCATGCTGGAACCACGTCCATAGGGATCTTCCCGCGCAACACTCATGTATCGCTGATATCGAGACGGTCCCCGGTTATCGTTAGGCCGATCTCTTCGGCGTTGAGGTCCAGCCCTTCGTGGCGGACCGCTTGGTCCAGACATTGGCATCCGATACCCGTTAGGTTGATAGTCGTCATATCGGGAGTTGTTGGAAACAGTGGAAGGAGCTCGAGGATGTGGGGGCGCAAGTGGGCGAACAGGTGCTGTTGCATCTGCTGGTGCAGGAGCTTCTGGAGGCGGAGGCGTGTAACGAGGCCCATCCCCGTTTTCCTGCGCTGGTGCAGCAGCGTCTACTTCGGACTGTGGTTGTGGTTGTGGGGGTTCGTTCTCTGCTAGGAACCGATCTGCTGCAGATTGCCCTTGAGGTGGACTGGCATCCCTTGACTGACGCTCGTTCATGAACCGGTATTCGGGCCGATGATCATCTTCTTCATAGTATCGAGCCTGGCGGGGATAGGCACTGTATTCCCGACTGCCGTGGCTTCCTTCCCGCGGATGTGCGTAGACCACGTCCTCGGGTGGTCCATAGAATCGCTCTTGCTCGCGGAACGCTGTTCGGCGGCCGGTGTAATCCTCATATGTAGGACCTGCATGGATGATCCTTGGGCTGGGGGCGTACTCCACATACTCCCGGGGGCGGTGATAGCCGTCATCAAGGTGATCCCTCGGCAGCTGGCAGACAAAGATGTTAGTTTCACTAATGTTTCTGCGGAGTTTTGTAGATCACGTACATAGTATCGCGGCTCAGCATAATGGTGCTGCCTACGCTCTGCGGGGGAGCTCTCTCGATATGAACGTTTCCTGTTCATGGAGCCCGACGCCTCATTCGATTCGCCAGCAAGGCTTGGTCGAACAGGCTCATAACCAGCCTCCAGCGGTTTAGGTGGTAGCGCCGAATTTGCTTCTGCTGCTTTCATAACAGATTTGGGGCGTGCTATTCCCTCACCAGCAACATCGGCTGGGCCAGTCGTTTTGTCTGAATCCTTCGGTCCTGACGAGGCTGGGGAAGCTAATCCATGGCTATCAATCACGCCGATCTTAGGCAGTGGCATAGGGAACAAGCTGGGAAAGACGGTCGCTATCATTAGCAGCTTCTCGTCATCCATGCCTGGGGCGTGTATGAGACCAGAAATGAACCGTTCGCTTGGAAGCTCGATCATGTGTTCCTTCCAGTCCAGAGGGGCAATAGGCATTCCGTGGCCAGGCATTGGTTGCTGAAAAGGCAGATGCTGGCTCCTGAAGTGCGATAACAGGCCGAGAACAGTATAGGTTGTTCTTTCCTCCGACTTGGAGTAAAAGGAACCTCCCAAGTTATGAGAAGCGCCCGTCTGACAAGCTTTGCATGAGAGACCTGGTGCATTCTTCAAGGCCTTTGGCATCTCATGATTAGACAGAGCATCAATGAAGTGGTTCAGGTTCGGTTCATGATTGAACTCTACATGAAACTTGGAGATGACGCGATGCAGCAACACATAGATCCGGAGGCTATTCGGCATGTCTTTGATCCCTGAGGTGCGTTTCCAGATGTCCTGGGTCATGTCGATGACGGTACTTACTTGCTTGTCAAACGAGCTAGTACTTTGGCCAGTATCTTCTGTACCGCTAGGAGCGATCTCAGGAATTCCTTGGCTAGGTGGTGGCATGTTGGGTGGTGGTGGAGCTATGGCATTGTTGATCATCGCTGGAGAAGTCAGGTAAGGGTTCTGGGCCGCATGAGCACCATAACCTGGAGGACCCATTGCTTGATGTGCATACATATCCACGGGTGTCGCATATGGCTGGGGGTACTCGAAGCCAGAAGGAACCTGTGGTGGAGCGAATGGTCCATTGTACTGGCCTCCATAGTTGTAAGGACCAGGGCTCGCCTGTGGATGGTGAGTTGGCATGTGAGGTGTTGATGTCCCTGCGCGTGAGTATCCGCCAAAATAGCCACCAAACCCGTTCGTACTAGAAGAGGGATGATGACCATGTTGAGGTTGCTTCACAGAGAGAGGATCTGGGTGGAAGGGAGTCTCCTCCGGCCACTCGGCTTCTCTCCATGCAACAACCACGTTTCCTGAACTGAAGGCAGCAGTATGTTTGGCTCCGTAGTGCTGCGTGACGCCCTCAAAACCATAGTACTTGTTGTTGTACTCGCATCCGCCGCCATGGCACAGGAAGATGTCCTTCCGGAATGGTTCTGTCAAAGGCTTGATCTTATTGTCGTACACCCATTTCATGTTATCCAGGACGAGCCTGGGCCTAGTAGTCATATTGTCAGTAGAAGGCTGCGTATGTTGTCCGGGATGATCAGAGTCCTGTTCGGGTTCCTCGGCATAGTATGTGCGGCGCACGTGAGCAAGGAGGTCGGCCGCAAACTTTGGGCTGTTGTCGTAAGTGACGGCGCTGCCATGGTCCCAACTCTGATTAATGAAGTCGTCGGCGATGGCTTCGAGTCTGTCGCGGATGGGTCGTTGCGACTCTTCCCACTCTCGGTCCATGACTTCTCTGGCCTCCTTGGAATTGGCGTCCGTGTGGCGGCGGTCGGCAGCTTTTGTGGGAAACGAAGCAGCCCGAGCCACGTGGTCGGCTTCTGCTTGTTGGGCAGCAGGGAGCTGAGCGATCAAGCGGGGTTGGAGCACACTCCATGCGTAGTCGTTCATTGGTTGTGAAATCTGGATAGCCGCTTTGAACGAGTCCATGTGGCGCAAGACGTTGGAAGCGATAGGAGGGTCCATTTGCTGACACCGGCGTTCTATGTCGGTCTTCCGGGTCGCCTTGGCCTCGTTTGCATCGTGTAGGTTTCTCTGGCCAGAAGGGGTGAAAGCCTGTGGTGGAACAGTAGGCGGTCGCGCTTGCGCATGCTGCGACGATGGTGCTACACCTGTTAGGGAGGGGACTGGAGAGGTGTTGTTGACATATCGAGAGGCATCGCCATGTGTGGCAGCAAATGAGACAGCAGAGGTATACTTACTCGCTGGAACCGGAGCATGAATTATGGGAGAGGGAGTTCGACGAGGGGGTGATTTAGACGGGTCCTTGTGTGACGTGGCGGCATGCGAGGGAGCTGCAGACGGAGCGCGCTTCACACGCTCGTGCTCCTCCTGCCATAGGTTCTTGACCTCCCAGCGTTCCCAGTTCTCGGCGACTTTCATGCGTTCTTTTCCGCGAGCATCTAGTCCTTTGGACCACTCCTCAGCTGCTGCAGGGCCACGGCTGATGGCCTCGTTCATCTCCTGCGTGATCTCGTCGACATGCTTCTTGTAGTAGAACTTGGCAATGTCGACGTCGGCCGGCGTATTCGCAGATTGCAGGGTGTATGCCGGAATGTAGTGCTGGTCGCTGGTAAGGAGGGCGAACGGGAGGGCGGGCCGCAGGGCGGAGGCAGCGGAGAAGAGAAGGCTCGCGTCCTATACATGTCAGTCGCGATCCAGGAAGCGGAAGGTGCAACTCACCGTCTGGCATTGTTTGAGCAGGCACGGCCCGCAGGCTCTGATGGCGAAGGGCCAAATGACGCGGACGCCTTCTTTGCCGGGGCCCTTTTGCCATACGCGCTCGCCTGGAGTCAGAGAATCAAGCTTATTGCAGAACTGACATCTCCTGGACCAAGCCAGCTGCCACATGCGCAGCTCGCTGAAGCCTGGGAGCGGCTTCGGGGGCTTGGTACACATTGCGTTGCGGGCAGAGGCCCACAACGACTCGGACTTTAGGAGATGCAGACGGCCAGGATGCGACTTTGAAGTCGACAGACTGCGCACGTCTGTGAGATAGGATAGGAAAGATCGATTGACCTGGATCAATCGACCGAGATCTGCAAGCGAACAAAAAGAGAAAACATGCTGCCACAACTCGGGTGGTAGCTTCACGAGCGGCTTCGCGCTGCTGAGCTTGCGCTTCTTTTCACGCTCATGGGGCGCATCCTCTGCCTTGCGCTTTGCGACAGGCGCGTCGCTTTGCGCAGCCGTCGCCTGGGGAGGATTCGCGTCAGAGCCGTAGAAGTCGACCGACGACGCTGGGCTTGATTCGCGGTCCTCCATGGCGGCGCAGCCGTGCTGGGGCAGCGTTCACAACAGACTCATTGTCGGCATGCGCAGGCTAGAGACACAGAGACAGCGACATGCGATGGATGACGATGCGATGGAGCAGCGCGCGATGAGATGGAGCGCGGAAAAGGCGGTGCGCTGCGTGTGTTGGCGATGCTAGTGTTTGTCGTGGCAGAGTGGAGGTGAAGAGGGCTAGAGGGCTAGAAGGATGGAGCCTGGGGTCTAGGCGGCGGTTTGAAGGATGCAGAAAGCTGCTTTGGCATGCAGCGAGGGCAGGCAGTGCGAGGAGCTATGTCCAATTATTCACGGTGAAGCGGACGAGGGTCTCCTTGAAGGTCGTTGGGCGCGCCGTCGGCACCGCTTGCCTGCCACCAGCGCCAGCGCCAGCCGCTCGAGGGCGCGGGCCAAGCATGACATAGCTGCCAGCTCTGCACACCGAACTTGTGGCCCGCCTGTGCTGACCAGCCCGACCCGACTAGGTTAATTCACGCCCAATTACACAGACACACATACGGGATACGCGTACGCTGCCTGTCCCACCACGCATCGTGCTAGCTGTCAATTCCGAGTGCTGCTTTTCCTCCACCTCCTCTTCTCCACCACTCCCCCAAGCTTCGTCTCCCACGACAGCTTCCCCTCCACGCCCGCCCACCATGGCCACGCTCAACACCTCCAGCAACGGCCCCAACATCACCCGCAGCTACCAGAATGTCGTCAATGCCCCGGCGCCCTCTGGTCCCCAGGCCAGCTCGCCCACATACGGCCAATGGGCCGTCTTCACAGTCGCTGCCCCGCTTGTCAGCGCATTCCAGCAGGACGGCGGAAAAGAGAGCGTGCTGAAAGTGCAGAGCACCGGAGGTACGTGGAACAGCGCGGCACACTTCCAATGGCCATCACTTCGCACTCGAGAGCTTGGGCTATGGCAATGTGGCTGCCCAAGCTCGGGTGTCGGCACATCACGAAGCGCAGCACAGTGCTAACATCCTGCAGAGGGCGAGCTGCTCGATCTGATAGACGAGTTCTCAGACGGCCGCATCCAGTTTGCATTCGTCAAAGTCAAGGACCCCAACACATCGCTGCCCAAGAACGTCCTGATAGCCTGGGTAAGCTCTCCGCTGCAGCTCTCAGAGACACAATGCTAATTCACACGCAGTGCGGCGCAGGTGTTCCAGAGCGGACTAAGGGCTACTTTGGCAGCCATCTCACGGTTGTCTCCAAGCTGCTACATGTGCGTACTCCCACGGCCCCTCTACGCACAAGCTAATTTCCATAGGGATACCATGTCCAAGTTACCGCCCGTTCCGAGGACGACCTCAGCCCAGAGAAGATTGTCCAGAAAGTTGCAGACGCATCAGGCGCCAAGTACGGCGGCGGTGCCGATGTCCCTGCCCCGCGCGGCCCTCCTCCCGTTGCCGCGAAGAAGCCCGTCTTTACACCTACCTCGATAGGCGGCGGAGGCGCTGGCTTCAACCCTCTCGGCCGCTCGCGTGCACCTGCGCCAAAGGGCGATGAAGATGCGGATGGCTGGGGTGCTGATGCCCCGCAGGTCTCCAGATCCCAGCTGGAGAAGGTCGGAACTGCTTACACTCCCACCAAGGTCAACATGGCCGAGCTCACCGCGAGAAAAGACGAATCCACCGGTTCCCAGCCCTCGGGCTCGCAGAACGACCGCCCTGAAGTCGTCAGGGGCGCATACCAGCCAGTTGGCAAAGTCGACATTGCAGCCATCCGGGCCCAGGCGCGCGATGCCAAAGACGACCGGCCCACTGTCGTCAAAGGCGCGTACGAGCCCGTCGGAAAGGTCGATATCGCGGCTATCCGCGCAAAAGCCCAAGCCGGTCCACCATCCGCTGGCATGTCCCCAGCCCCAACGGGAGCGTCGAACAACGAAGAAGAGGAAGAGAAGCCGAAGTCTCTCGCAGAGAGATCAGCAGCTTTCAGCGCGCAGCCCGAGCGCCTTACCAGCTTGCCGAAGCCCAAGGTTGCCAACAAGTTCGCTGGTGCGAGCACATTCACCGGCACCAAAGCTCCTACTCCAGGAGGTTTTGGTGCAAAGCCCGCTCCTCCGGCACCAATCGTCGGCGCCGCGAGCAAGACGTTTGCTGACCAAGGAGGAAAGACTCCTGCTCAGATCTGGGCGGAGAAGAAGGCGGCCCGTGGAGAAGCCGTTCCTTCTTCTACTGCCGATGCTGGAAGCCGCCCAACTCCCCTACAAAGCCAACAGAGTGGAGGTGGTGGCTGGCAAAGTGGCTACTCCGGCAAATCATGGGCTCCGGTGCAGACTACCCGAACAGGTCAGTCTGCGACTAGCAACCTCAGCGAACAACGCACGGGTGGGGCACCTCAACAAGAAGAGCCAGCCTCTCCTGCAGCTGGTGGCGTAAGCTCGCTCAAGGACCGCTTCACAGGTGCCGCCCCTATGGGAGCGCCAACTTCACGCCCTGTACCAGAGCCGCAGGCTTCCAGCCCACCGCCTCTCGATACCTCGAGCAAGCCCAATGCTGGCCCGAGGGGCGTTCCGATGCCAGGCCTGCCTACCCGACCCAAAGAGCCGGAATCAGACGAAGAGGATGTGCCTGCCACTCAACACCAGCGTATGCCATCTCCACCACCTCAACCACCTCGCAGCCCGTCTCCCGAGCCTTCCGGCTCTCCTGTTCGTATTGCCATGCCCGTTGCTCGTGGGCGCGAACCAGAGGAGATGTCTCCTGCCGAGGAACACGCACCGCCTATGCCCGCGCGATCACTTGATCAAGCAGCCAGGCAAAATCGTGACATGTCTCCAGAGCCACAAGTCGAGGCCAAGGACCCTGCTCGTGGAGCTGGCGCTGCCGTTGCTGCTGCCACTTTTGGTGCTGCCGCAGTAGGCGGTGCTGCCGTCGGCGCAGCGGTCGCTTCTCATGACGATGACGATGCCGGTGGCTCCGGCAAGCGCGCAGTCATCCAATATGATTACGAGAAGGCGGAGGACAACGAAGTCGAGCTCCGTGAAGGCGAGTATGTCACAGACATCGACATGGTAGACGACGACTGGTGGATGGGCACAAACTCCCAGGGCGAGCGTGGTCTCTTCCCGGCCAACTATGTTGAGCTGGTCGAGGGCGACGATGCCACCGCTGCACCAGCACTGCCCGCACACCCCTCGGCGCCGCAAGAGCCCGAACCTGCTGCGGCACCGTCACAGTCTGCTGGTCCTACAGCCACCGCTCTGTACGATTACGAAGCAGCTGAGGACAACGAACTGAGCTTCCCTGAAGGAGCCACAGTAACTGAACTTGTAAGGCTACCTGCACCACTGCTAAAACCGATGCTAATACTCTTGTAGCAATTCCCCGACGAAGACTGGTGGCTCGGTAGCTACAATGGCCAATCGGGTCTCTTCCCCGCCAACTATGTTGAGTTGAACGAGTAGGCTTGCTTGTTTCCATGAATTTAACCTGAGCGATTTGGAGTCAGCTCGCGTCGGCGATTTTGTTGTTGCATTGTCACGCACTCGACTGGCTCAGTAGTCGCAGGACGAAATCCTGGTACTAAAGTTGCGGCATACGGCCCTACCACTCCAGTCGCATTTCCAAACGATTTACATTGATAGGACCTACACCGATAAAGATTCACTGGGTCAACCAGCATCTTCTTGTACATATCAAAATTTCAAAAGCGATTACCATGGCTCCAGTATTGGTCATACGCTAAACGAGATCATCAAGAGTGAGCACTCATTGATTCTGCGACCCAGCGTCCAGTGTCATCCTGCGCTGGTACATGGTACCAGTCAATGCATATGCTTAAGCCTACGAGTATCTTATTCTACGATGTTCCAACGGCCGTTTTGATGTTCACTACACGTGGACCAAATTGGCTATTTCTAAAAACCACTATTCATTTGGGTCTCCACTATTGATGCCATGGTTTGCCTATAACCGTCACAGGATTACGATGGGAGTGCCCATACGTCCCACGGACTGAGGTGACTGCGCACCCACGATATATGTCCGCAGCAGCCTTATGATCATCTGAACCATGGATACCAAAATACGCGCATCTGGGCAAGGAAATTCCCACTCAAGTATAAAACTATGTAGTACGCTGCACCACTGCTGATTTACTTCACAACCTTTCTCTCCAAGATACCTGATTTTCACGACGAACACAAATTACCACAACCACTTACAGCATAACAGAGAGTGCATCTTACATTTCCATCTGGCAACTACAATGGTCTCTTTGGCCTGGCTCATTGCAGCCGGAGTGGTTCTCCTCGCTGCTCTTATCGGCCTGGTCCACTACGAAGAGAAACTCAACGAAGCGATCTGTCGAGCGAAGATTCAGGAGGAAGTACTCAAGGCTACTCAAGCCGAGCTGTCTGAAGTCAAAGACGACCTCCACGCCTCCCAAACCAAGCCTACTAGTACTGACCTCTGCCTCGTCGATACCAAATCCATTCTCGCCAACACCGAAATTGCGCTCAAACAGAGCGAAAAGGAAGTCGTCGCCCACCTCGAATTCCGTGATGGACTCGGTAGGGAGCTGTCCCAAGCGCGCCGCGAACGCGACCGTGCAGAAGGCGCAATGGTGTACCTCACCCACGCGCTCGAAGAGTCTAAATGCAAGAATGCCTCCAACGAAGATGAGTGCTATGAACTACAGAGCCAGATTCAGTTCAAAGCCAAAGAGCTCCAGTCCATGACACTTTCTCTGCACAACACCATGAAGGAGTTGGAGCGTGCAAACAAGTTTGGCCAGGAGGCGCAAGATAAGATTGACGAACAACATGCGACGATCATGTTCAACGAAGAAAGCGCCAAACGTGTTACCACACATCTCCAGGCCATGACACATTCTCTGCACAACACCAAGAAGGAGTGGGAGCGTGCAAACAAGTTTAGCCAGGAGGCGCAAGATAAGATTCACGAACAACACGCGACAATCATGTCAAACGAAGAAAGCGCCAAACGTGTATCTACACAGATCGAGAAGCTGACCAGGGACTGCAATGCCTTGAAATCCCAAATTCGAAGCTTGCATCTAGGATGGACATCGAGGTGTGACGAATCCTGGCGCGTGAAGAAAGCTCTCGAAGAAGAGAACAAGCAGCTACGCATCGCGAACGAATCTTGGGCCAAGAACAACGCTGGCACTATTCGTGCCATGCAATCTCGCGTCGACGAATTAGAGGGCGAGCTTGCAGAATGCAAGCAGGAGAATGGGTGCCTTGCCATAGATCTCGAGATCATGGTTGATCGCGCCGCAGCCTACATGGAGAAGATCGAGACCTTAGACCGAGAGGCTGAAGAGCGGGAATGGAACTTCATCCCGGGCGAGATGATTGAGGCGGCTAGTGAAACGAGTGAGAGCATCACAGACGAAGAGGAGGAGGACTACGAGGGGTACGAACCAGAAGGATACCGCCTGTGGACTCTCGACGGAGACAGCGAAGACGACGCCACAGTATACGAACTCGACGAAGATAGCGAGGAAGAAATGCCAGAGTGGTTCATCCACGCGCCCACGGACCCTAGTGGCATGCCTTACAAGCAGATGTGGGAGATGACCAACGCTGAGACCGAGGAACTTAAAGAGTGGGATGAGGACAACTGGTCTGTGGCCAACGGTCAGGAGGAGAGCGAGGTCATCGAGTACCTAGAGATCTTGGAAGAACAGCACACTGATGACGACACTCTATCTCAGAGCGACGATGAGAGTCTGGACTCATGGGACGCGGACGACGAACACTGGAGTGGGAGTGCTATCAAGAATAACACTCCATGGACCTCGTATATGGAGAATATTCTGGATGAAGATGATGAAGATTGGGGTGTGGTATACACATGGGATTGCGAGCCCAGTACCGTGGAGTGTGAGTGGTGATGATGTCCGTGCTTTTCATGCGGCAAGGCTGTATGTGGTTTCTGCAACCTCCAGTTAGGAATCCGCTTTCAGTATTCATGAAATAGGGTCGGGCATTGTTTGTTGAATGTGCTGGTTCTACAACGCAGGTACGACGCGGCTGGAACGAGGTTTGGTATTAAACGCTGGCATCGGCCCTGTTCGGTCGCTACTCTCAAATATAACTGTCTGCCCCTACTCTTCTTTTGATGGAAACAGCTCTTGTACACGTCGCCATCATTCCAGTGCTCGTGCAAACATGGTCTATATAACCTAGCTACCACCACTACGTGATATCCCCACAGCCATCCGCAAGTATGCACTTCATGTACACTCTCTTTACAGTATCGCTGGCGCTCAGCACAAGCGCACACCCTTTTATCACGGCCAGAAGCCTACCTCCGGAGTCTGCATGGATGACCATATTGCTGCCTCCCAGCGCGACTACGCCAGTCGTACCGCCGGCTGCTCCTTCCTCGAAACCGGTGGGTCAGCCGCTCCCTCCTCCTGCGCCAACAAGCCATATATCTCCAACCTTACCTTCATTTGTGCTTGCCTCCACATTCACACCATCAAGTAACATTGCGACACCGGGAGCCCCAGTGGCGACCACGCATACTGTCCCGGCTGCACCTTCCAGCTCAGCAGTGCCTGTTGTGCCCACACCATCCTCATCCCCCACCTCCCCAGCAAACCCTTCGCCTTCAATGCTCCACGCTCAGATCTGCTCAACGGACGATAAGTGCGAAGACGTCGCATTGCTTCCCCATGAGTGTCGGCTACTCACCACAACTCTGTAAGTCACGACTACCAGCGGACAGCAACTACCAGCGGCTTTGGGAAACCTCTAACATATACAGTGGTGCAACCGTACGTAAGGTGACTGTTCAGTGGCCAGCAGTATGCCTCTTTACCATGTAAGTTTCGTTTGCCTAGTAGACAAGACATATATTGATAGGCTCAGAATGTCGCAGTGCACTACGTATAAGTTTCTGGAGACTCCTGCATTATCCGTTGCGAGGGAAGTGGCGGGCGGTAGTGTTCCGGGCGGAAGCGTTGTAGTAGACGACATCCAGAAGGGTATGACGGGGAAGGTGCTGTATATGATCTGCAAGCTCTGAGTTCAAGTAGCGAGCTAGTGAAGGGGCTTTGAGTTTGCTGGGTATTGAAAACTAATTGCAACCGTTCTCTGTCACATTTGACTTGACAAGCGTATATTTGCTCATCTGAGCCCTCTCGCCTTCACCTTGCCGTGAGCGCGCTAGCGTACTTTCCTATTGTGGCCTTCTAAATGCCGCGCCTTCCTGCTTCTAACCTTATCCACTCTACATACATACTGAATCAACAGCGCCATAATAGCTGCGACAATATTCCTCTTGCCAACCAGATCAAACATGGCTTCCACCGACACGAACCTCACCACGCAGACGAAACCTCCAAAATACAAGACCCGGCTACCCATCAGGTAAGCTTATGATTGACACACGCATACTGTAGAGATCCACTAACGACTCGCAGTACGGCTACGAAGGATGGGTTCGTCGTCCTCGAGATCGGCCCACAGAAACAGCGCTACCACTTGCACAAAGCCCTCCTCACACACCATTCGGAATACTTCAACAATGCCCTAAACGGCCCATGGAAGGAGGCCGAGGACAAAGTCGTCATTTTGGAAGATGTCGATATTATTGCTGTAGACATATTTGTCCACTGGCTGTATACACAACAGATTCCAGACAACGACGCCACACTGAAAATGTCAGAGAGTTCCCCAGACACCAAAGATGACGACGATCCGATGACCGCTTATACGAAGGCACTAGTGTTCGGTGACAGATTTCTAGTGCCTGTCTTTCGCAAAGCTATTCACAATTGCATAGTAGAAACATTGCTTTATGACGAAGACGGTGGCCCTCGCGAGCCGACTTGTTTCACCGCAACGAAATACGCTTACGAGAACTTACCATCGGATCATAGCATACTGAAACTATTCTTGGATTTCCACTGTCGACACTGGGATGTGACAGGAAATGGGGCAGATGATGTGGAGGCTGCAATAACTGAATTGATCGGAAGGGACCTGCCACATACTCTACTGATTCGCATGATCGCGCGATATTCTTCAAGGGCCGCGGAAGCAACCGAGATTGGGTGGGATGCGGATTTGAAGGGCTGCGATTATCACGAGCATTCCGATGATCAAGAGCGTAAGATTTGCAAAAGGAGGTTACAAAGGGCTGGTCAGGCTACGTGAAAAGTTCCGGTGTTTCTGTCTTAGTCCCAGCTCGGCTAGTACGCGACAACCAGGGAGGGTTCATGCATCATGTCAAAGAAGACAAGATAAACAATACGGAAAGAAACAATGGCCTCGGTCAGGCTTCATATGTGCTATGAACGAGATGCCGAGACTTAAAGGATGCCTTTAGATTTTAAATCTACAGTGTTGCAGCTCATGCTTCCTAAAGAAACACCTTATCGGAGGCTCTCAGTTTCTTTAGCATAATCTTGTTGTAATTCATAGCTCTAAAACAAATCCTTATACATATCCACCCAAAACTTCTGCCCCGCCTCGCTGGGCCCACCAGTTCGCATCTCTTGACAGTCTTTGTGCTCGCAGACGATACGAAGAGATCCAATTCCACCATTTCCGCATTTCTGGACCTTAAGGAGGTACCGATCGACAGCCTCATCAGGCGTTTGATCGAGCGGGCATTTAGGCGTACGCTTCGCGACCTCCCACACTTGTTCGAGCGAGTACTTCAACATGCCGAACCGTTTATCATAACCGCGGTATTCTTGAATGTCTTTCACACCGAAGCGATTCAACTGGTGGCGTTGCATATGGAAGAGGCCCATGATGTCGAATCCACAGATCCAGATGGTTTTTCCACTAGCAGTTTTGAAGCGCTCGGGCGACGGGACTGAGACGACCACTTGTCATAATCAAAAGTAGACCATGTTTCCAGGAGACTAGATTAGTGTCAAGCTTGATCTACTCTACATAATACGTATCCACTGGGGAGTTTCTTGATCCATCCATGTCTGATCTCGTTCAAACGTAGCGACTCCTACTCGCTCAAAGAAACTACCACCATCTCCTGCAGTAGCGACTATTAGACCATAATGAGTCACCAGGCGACTATTCGACTTATATTGCGTTCCCAAGACCACACACTGAAGCTTGCCATATGTGTCTCCGTCTGTGCTGCGATCGAAGAAAAGACAGTCATCATGCTCCCTGAGAAACTTCCTTGCGTCGCCACGAAGTGCCCCAGGAGCTTCACCCATGTATTCATGTTCGTTGAAAGGTGAGCCAACCTTTTCGGTCCAGTGAACAACACCGAAGGGAATTTCCATGAAGCATATAGGGCCCATTACCGCCATCCACGACCATGAAAACACCTGCCGCTCAGGTGGATATTCGATCTTGGTCAGCTCTTTCTTCATATCTGCGCGTCGCCAAAGAAGACTGCGACGTAGATAACTGGGTTCATCGGGATGATCGAGGATGCCGTACCGTGCTCTGCCGAACAATCTCGCGAATCGTGTTTCAATTCCAGCCATGCCTGATGGCCTGTCTGTGTAATGTGTGAAATCAAGTTGCGAGTACTTTTCGTAAATCTCTTCAAAGAACGCGATGCGCATGCCTTTGTATCGTTTCAACATAGCGTCAGGGAACTGAGGGTCGGAGAGAAAAGAGGTTTGATGGCTGATGTGATGGTAAGTTTTACTGTGGTAACATGGACTTGGTGTCACTTACTTGTACAGCGTCGTTAGGGTTTCACACCTGATGCCCGCCCCACATTCCCAGTAGGTCTGAGCTTTCGTGAAGTGAATGATACGCCGAGATAGCGCGCGTTCTTGAAAGACCCATCCTCTTCTACTCAAAGCGGATTGCTCTACGTCGTGTTTGAAATTATCGATCGGGTCGCATAGATAGATCATGTCTAGTTTACCCGAGTAATTGGTATAAGAAAGAGGATAGTGATTTCTCACATCACGGTCCGTTTTTAGGAAGCCATCATGGCTCCCAGTCGCACATGTTGCCGATAGTGTAACATACGCACATCTGAAGACATCTTCCATCATCCTGATTTCCGCTTGCAAATCCCTTTCATCATCTTGAACTATGCAGAGTGCATCAACCCACAAGTACCGAAGACCGAGGCTCCTGGTAATCAATACTGCGTCTTTGAAGGTCTGCGGTAGCATCCTTAGATCAAGGTGTTTCTGCCATCGCTCGAGTGTTGCACGACTTAAGAAATGTAAACTTTCGCGCAGTGCAGGATCACCCCATCGATGCGTTAAAGCGACATATCTGTTGTTATCCCTAACTATGTTGCAGTCCAGACGAAGTGAATTTGACGTGCTGCGATCACGATTGTCGCAGTCACCTCTTGGGTATACATCGACCAGTCTGCGAGGCATGACTACCTCTGTGGGCTTACACTCGTGATGTAGATCACACCATTTAATCCATCTCTTCAGAAGTTTAACCTGAACAGAACTTCCAGGGGTCGGTAGAATCGGAAATCCTCGCTGATACGTGTCCGGGAAATGGTTAGAGCCTGTTTGCGCAGTTAATATCATCTCTCACAAGATGAATCGCGTCACCTACCTGGGCTGGGCCCTACTACCAGAGAGAGAAGAGGGGGATCTCCTCTTGCAGTGGTCAAGGATGAACCTTCTCGCAGCATCATTCTGGGTTTCTTGTCTCCTGTCGTATTGCTCATTTTCTGAAATATGATAGCACAGAGAGAACAGATCGACTGAGATGCTTTGGTTTTCTCGTACAGTACCAAGAAAGAGCCTCTAGAGAAGAGGCCTGTTTCAGTGCTCGAGCAGTGCTGACACAATGATGTCAAAATCGGATATGCTGGCGCGAGCTTGAAGATTTCGTTCTTTTCCAGAATTCCGAAGACGGTCTTCGCGAAGAGGTTGTCGAGGTGTGTTGTCCATGCATCCAATGGCTCGGGGATTGCGTAAGGATTCTTTGTGTTGGCTACCCCGCCGTTCTGCTGTCGCTGATGATCGAAACGGATCAGATCACGCGGATTCTGCTGATGATATGACATCAGAAACTTGCTCATCGATTTCCAAGGGAGCCATTCACCTCTAGGCGACTGTTGGATGTCGAGGAAGGCATCAACAACTTGTTCGATATAATCGGAAGTCGGCCGATGGGCCCTCTCATGTCGATCTTCGGGTTATGCATATAGTTTGGGATGTCAAGAGGTATCGAGCTAATCTTCTCAAGCTCGATACACGACTCCTTGCTCCTTGCTCTACCTGAAATGGAGGATACCAGCGTAACATCTGAAGCAGGCGTGACGTATATGGGTACTCTGTCGTCACCGACGGGCTGCTGAGATGTGTCGCCTATGTCGCGGTCTGTTGCATCCGGCACCAGAAGTCTTTCTCTCACAAACATGAGAAGTCTACGTAGAGCAATGCTGTAACACTGCTCCCCGTCCACCAGACATGTATCAGTCATGTGCTTCATCCAGGATACTACTACTGGGCGAAGTGGACGGTCGTCGCTCCCACTCAACCAGAATGCGTCGAAGTCTTCTGGGAACGCCTGCTGCGAGAATTTGGTGAGACCTTCATTTCCGTAGACTAGCCAGATTATCCATTCCAGGATGATGCATCCCATACCCCACATGTCATAAGATCTGGAGATCTTTGGGTCGGCCTCAGGTGGTCTGTATCGGAGTGTCCCCCTTGGAGTTGATGAGGGTTTGTTTCGGGCGTGTGTCGGCAGTGAATGTATCTTCGCCAGCCCTAGGTCTGCGATTTGGAAGATTCCCCGCTGCAATGCGGAAGACATCAGGATATTTTCCGGCTTGAGATCCCCATGTCGCCCGTTCAACTCTTGGCTGTTCGGGTTTTCGTGCCAGCACCCAATCGCTCCAACGAGCCCCTTGATCTGTCCAATAGTCCAGCTAATGAGATCCCCATCCGCAGACCAATTCTCTTCGTCGTTCCAATACGACCGGAGGCTGCCTCCCTCTGCCCATTGGAACAGCAGGTAGCTTGTGGAATTTTGCCTGAAACCACCGACGAATCTCACAATATGTGGATGTTCCAGTTGCCGCGCGAGAGCCAGGGCATCGAGTTCCCTTTGGTCGGCGCCGGCTTCCTTTTCACGTAGCTCTTTGATTGCAATTATCAGATCATCCTGTTGAGATTAGCGAAATATTTGGAAACATAAGATGGACATACTCACCGAGTTGACCGCATGATGAGCATGGTGTATGGTAGCTTTGTGCAGAAAGCTGAAACTGCCCCCCTCACCTTTGGACTGACTTGTGAGAAAGGGCAGTCGGCAGTCTGGATGTAACTCTTCCATCTTGCTATCATCCCCGAAGACCGGGGCCAGGTAAAGCCATTGCTGGTCACAGAAATCGTTCTTCTCCTGCTTTGTCCAACTGCGAAACCACCGCCAGCCGGGCAAATCTTTTGAAACGCCGCTGAGGGAAGTGAGACATGAATCTTCGTTGGCGATAGGGAGGTATTCATCTTTGAAGGTCGATGTCTCAAGGTGAACAGCCTTCTGAACTTTGGCTTGGATCACTAATATGGCAAATGTCTTCCTGGCGTACTTCGAAATGTACTCAATCAGTGATCGGCGAGCACAGCCAGGAGCAAATTTGTCCAGTTCCTCTTTGATCGCCTCCTCGGTCAGCAATTCGTCAAAGTCGTCCTGAGGAAGGAACTTCGCCCGTGAAAATTCGCTGCGGACTAGCTTTTCGTAAATCGCATCGTAAAGACCTGGCTGCTGGTTTGGTGCCATGTCGTCGTCCCAGCCAGGGGATATTGGCTCAACGTCGTTGGGATCCTGCTGTGATCGGAGAGGCAAAGAGTGTTGTTCTGCGGCGGGCATGGCTGATCTTGGCGCTTTATCATTGATTGGTCGTCGCGTCGGAATGAAGTGACGTAGTGAGACGCAGCCCTAGAGCAGTGCGGAAGGCAGTGCAGAAGTGTACAACGAAGTAATGCAGTAAATTTCAAAAGCTGTAGCACCGGTCAGTCGTCGCAGTGGATGACTGGCTTGTGATCATGGCACAGGGCCATCAACGCCATTTAAATAGGTAGCACTATGCAGCCTCCAAGTCGGACAGCAGAGGGTCGAAACAAATGTCAACCGGGCATAGAGTCCAATGGTGATGCGATCGTGCCCTTGGCCTTTGCCAAGCACGTTGACATCCATATCACTTACTGGTAGCATGCAGAGCACAGCTATGGCGGCTTTGGAATGGCGTTCACCGGTGAGAAAACATACTGACTGGCTTCACTTGTTCGGGATGCTCAGCCCTGTATGTATGTAAGATTGGTGTACCACAATGGCACATCAACACCCTGACTTGTATCACGATGGGCGTATGATCGCAAGCCGAAGCGCCTAGATGATTTGACGAGCGCGTATGCATAGCCGTCCCGGGTTCGCAAGAGCTGAGCGGTACAGGGGTGGCATAGGTCTTGCAGCATCCTGTTTCGTTCGATCATCACTGCTTACTGACCATTGAAGGGCGCTGTGTGCCGCTGATAGGAGCCAGACGACGTTTACTCTGACCCTTGTGATTGCTGTATGCAGCCGACCAACGATCGTCCACGGCGCCGTCCAGTGGGCCGCGCATACTGTTCGCACGGTGAAAATGCATTGTGGGGCAATGCAGTGCATGTTTTCCGTCACGGTGCGAACGAGGATCACCTCAGTAATCTCGTCGTGATTTGTCGGTGTTGAGCCTCATATCAAATCGGTCAGAGCCCGACCGTCATCGCCGCAATCTCGATCGCTTATGGAATGTCGCTCATCAGGAAGTGAGGCTCGGAATCTTGTTGAAATCTACCACGAGAAGGACTCGACGAAGGTGTAATCATCGCAGTGAACGTGCGAAGACGACGTCGCATCGCATGTTTTTCCCCGTGGTATAGACTTCATTGTCGTCGACCGGCCAGGCGCGTCGATACGCAGATTTGAACGAGGGGTGTAGAGAGATTGTGAGGCTCAGATTATCTTCGTATTGATTCGCCTCGGACGCGCAGGCCTCTGTTCGCGGTGCTGGTATTGGTTGCGTAGCCGGTTGATACAAGCGCTTTCAGTCATCACACCCTCGTCCGGATAATCAGAGATGCAGTCGACGGCTGCTGAGTCTTGACCGGAAACCTAAGTGGCGCGATACTGCAATGCATGGACGGCACAGAGACAAGTTGCCGGAAGCTGTGGTTGCGGGTTGTTGGTAGTAGCTGAAGACGCGCGCGGGGTGCGCGCAACCAGCTCGGCCCGGGAGCTGTTGCCCCACAAAATTCGCGATCGGGGCGGCGTAGGGCTACTCGTTCGACGCACGGCACGAGGAACGATGGGATGATACGATGAGAGCGCTCGCTCTGAAGAGAGCCTGATTACGTGCATTCGTTACGAGATTATTGGTATCAATGCTATGTGTACGCTACTGACAGTACGCCTCCGCCGTTTGCAGAGAGATTTCGAAAAGAAAAACAGCCATTAGATATGCATGTGCCCTCGGCATTCCATGCACACAATGAACAGGCTGATGTGTATCTACTGCTTATCATTTTGCGAGTAGATGAAGTTGGCAGCAACAGGCATGAGGCCATTGTGCTCAGCCCACTCTCGCACACCACCACCCTCCTTCCCAGTACCCCAATGCTGGCGATCCTCTGGCTTACTCACATGGAGCGGCTCAGTCGTTCCGTTCTTTGGCGCAAAGACGAGGAACACGTAGCGATGCTTGCCTGTCTTTGGTGGTGGGCCAGGAGGCTTGTACTCCATCACGTCTTCCGGACCGCCGTCTGTTGACTTGGTCTCTTCCGTAAGACCAAACTCTGGTAGTGGTAGGATCGAGAACGTGTTCGGCGCTGTGGTGACGTTTGCCGCAATCCAATGACACATTTCTGACCATGCTGGATTATCGCGAGATGGCGCGTCGGGGTCGGTGAGTGTGACGACGTAGCTCATGTCGGAGATACTGTGCATTCCGTCCGGGCTTGTGTCATCATGCAGAACAATGGTGGGTTGTTCTCCCAGATAGTCTGGCTCGATGGTGTTGCCAAGTTTGGCCTTGGCATCTGACCAGAGAACGGACACTGTGAGACTAGGCAGGAAGTCATCAATGACAGTGGGAATGATCTCGGCGTGTTGAAGTCTGTGGAGTTTTAGTACGGTGCTCGTAGTTTTGATGAAATTCCTTACTTGGTCCGAACAGCCTGAACGTTCTTCGGGCCGTTGAGTATCAATGGCCTCTGCTCAGTTGGTAGCGCAACGGCGCAGAGCGGCAGCAGGCACGTCAGCCCAATCGAGACTTGGGAAAACATCGTGCTGGCGAAATAGCGGCTTGTCGATTTGGGGATGATCTTTCAGTGTCAAAATAGCTTCAAGCCTCGTCGTTGTCCGGGATGTGTGCACCAGAGCGCTGAGATGACCTCAGGAACGTTATCGCGTGAGGTAGGCCCTTATGGGGAGGAGTCTCCACCTAACCTGGTCGTGCGTCATTCGTACCTCAACTTATGCAGATCCACAAACGTTCGGGGAAGCTACAACATGATTGGGCAACGTCGATCTTGCAACCCTCGGATAGCGCGAGTCATACAGATGTCATATTTAGATTGTATTTCTGCTAGGCTGGTGTAGCTCTACGGGTATTCGGATAGCACGCTCAAAAACAAAGAAAAAGACAGGAAACCGCCAACGTAGAAGACATGTGTCGCTGAATCAGCAACCCTCAAAATGTTCACAAATCTGTGCCTCGCAGAATGCACTGCTGTCCATCACAAAACCCATGTTCTGCGAGACTTGATACTCGGCAAGCTCCTGAGCTCCTCGGCCTGTCATGGTGCCTGTGCAGTCGCGAAGCAGGACACAATCCCATCCATAAGAGTAGGCGTCTGACACGGTGCCAAAAACACATTGGTCCGTGTTGACACCGGCGAAAAGTAGTGTTTGCTTGCCAGATGCGCGGAGATACTCGTGAAGAGGCTCCTTTTCAGACCAAAGTCCCGACATGCGCGTCTTGTCGAAGAATAAGTCGCCAGGCTGAGCGACTGCCTTGAATGGATCGTAAAGTTCGGCGTTCCAGGTCCGCTTGAACAGGCACCTTCCCTGACCATCGGGTAGCTGTGCGCCAAGTCCGACGTGCCATCCCAGAGTCTTGCTGAAGCCTCGCTGGATAGCAGGTGCCATCTTTTTCAAGTCATGGTCGCTGATTCCCCAGTTCAGCCAGGCGATTTGGATGCCCTCTTTACGGCATCTCTCGATGACTTTCAGAGTCGGCTCGATAGCGGCGATGCCTGCGGCGTGATCCCGATAGAGTGGGTGAACAAAGTAGTTTTGCATATCGACAACAATCAGAACCGAGTTGCCAGGGTCGATCATGAAGCCGGTGTGGTTGCGATCTTCCTCATCGCACTCGAAGACCATCTTCTGCTGTGAACCGCGAGACAGATCGAACTTCTTGGTTGCGGGTAGGTAAAGCCATTGTTCATCCCCTCCAAACGGGATAGGTGCAGTGCAAGTGATAGTCCCCACTGTAACGTCGTTCTGCTGTTCTTCGGTGGTAGTAAGTGTGAGTGACTCCGGGGCCATGGAGGCGTCGGAGATGATGAGAGCGAGGTAGGCGAAAGCTGAAAGCGGCAGAAACCCAGGATAGATTTAGGGCTGAAAGTTGGTGTGGAGGTGTGAGGATGATCAGGAAGGGGGAGAACAAACGAGAAGAAGGCACGCTACCTTTGTAGTCGGTGTGCGAACGCTCCTACTGCGTTCCAAGGTTTGTTTGCGGTGAATATGATAACAGTGCTTATCACAATGATAGGCTTCCCTCGGGAGGAAGCTTGGTCGTAAGACAATGAATCAGTCATAGCAGTGTAGACCCTATCAGCTTATGCGGAGACGGACTTCCGCAGGGACTTGGAGGCTACATGAGCCTTTCCCAATTAGCAGTAGAGTACGTCGAAGCGACCTGACGATCACAGTGCATTCCCCAAGATGCGGAGATAGGAGCTGGAGATCTTCTTTGATAATTTGGTGTTGTCGCGTCTGGCCGCGTCTCGCAGCGAGATAAGGCTGGAGGGCTTGATAGATAGCCGTCGCCTAGTACAAGGGAAATCCCGGGGTCCGACAATACCCGAGCGCGAGCCAGCGTACGCCAGCGTGTCCATGGTACTTTCTCAGCGACCAGAGAGGTAATGCGATACTACGTGGCCGGACTAGGGGAGTGTAATCCACATATCCTCGAGAAATCCTAGGCGACTCGTGCGCCAGCTGTGTTGCGAAGCCAGCCAGTCTTATGTTGTCCATATCCAATGCTGACCACGGGTCGTGCATCACAGGCACTGCTGATGCTGCTCATGTGGTGGAAAAGTCTTGTCCTGTTACCCATTTGCTCGTGTGCACACTCTACATACGGTTTGCTGCAGCCTGTACACCATGTCCGGCCTTGGAGCCGAGCCGCATGCTGCCTCGCGTGTGGTGGCGTTCGCAGGGCTCGCGACCAGCAGAAGAGGAGGTTTCAGCAGCCGTGTGCTTGCTTTAACAACACGGGTGCGCGTGGCCACATGGCCGAGGGTGTTGCCTCCTTTATGCGAAAGGAATGAACAATATGACCTAAGATTAAGGAGACATGTGAATGTTGAATGTGGGGTGGCTGCCAGGTGGATTGCCATGCTGGCCGTCACGTGCACCATCATCAAACCTTGGAACTTTCAAGCGAAGTGACGACGGAGCTGCAGCAAAGGCACTCCATCACGAGCCTCTGACCCGACGAAGCCGCCATCAGCCACGATCACTTCGCCGATCCCGCATCTGCACCGTGCAACACTATCTCCACGCCGCAGGACGACATCGGGCTCACACACGATTCCGCCGTG